CCGTCGGCGGAATGGATCTTTTCAATGACGATGTCGACCATGCTACTCTAATTACAACGTGGCCCTACCACAAAGCGAGGTTGGGCCAATTGTCTATAGCGAAGGAAGACTGTGAGCAACATTAGGGTCAACACATCTTGGTAACCCTATATACTATTAAAAAAACTTATTTGAAAATGGATAAAAACACCATTCTTTGCTTATACGTAGACTTTTTAGACTTAAACGGAATAGGGTGAATACATTTCATAATACAAGCACTAAGCAATTGTATACTACTTACTTAAGCCTACTCATAATTAATGGTAATAAAGGACACACTCAAAGCATATTCTATAAAAAGCACAGAAATATCACTTAAACAATTGGTTATTATAGTACCAGTATCCCTGATGTTACAGCAAAGTTGCCAAAACTGATAATTATTTTGCCCTCGTTGTCAAAGAGACCCATTTGAAGGCAGCATTTGTGATTCCCTCTGCTCGATTAGTTATTCTAATTCCCTGTATCTGACTGTGGACTTGATACACTCTCAGATGTACCTCCGGCAACGTAGTCAGCATCGTCAGTGATTCCGATAATTCCCAGCATCAACCTACAACTCGTCAAAGAGTCATAATGCTAAGAGGGGCAAGACTCAATGACGATGCAAACAACAATCACGGAGAAGCGTCTGAGAATGTACCAAATCAACGACCCAAAGTTGGGATTTATCGTACCTTCCATAGCAGATGACACTAAACAAGGTGCGTCCAATTAGGTTGCCATGACGGCATAGCCAAGCTGCGAAAACGAGGTCAAACCACTTTCATACAGCAAAAGAAGACTATGATCAAAATAGTGGGCACAACATCTTGCTTTCGAAACTATGAGAATTATTTTGCTCATTTGGACACAATTGTGGATAATGCAATGTTGGCCAACACTTTAACATAATTTTGACGTGATTTGCTATTTCGAAGGAACAGTTGATCGAAATGAATGTATGAATTGGTCTCACCGGAAACCAAAGGAGGATTGCCGCGGAGTGAAGAGCGTTGGAGGGTGTGAATAACTCCTCGGCTCGCCGTCCTGCCACCCCGATCGACCTGTGCTGACTTCTGGTCTGTACCGTTTTGATAAGAATGCATAATTACGAAATATGCTAAACCAAAGGACCATTTTCTCATGCTTTTCATTGATTTTTTTAGCTGTAGACTATGGCCTATCGGTTCTTTTAAATTAATGTTATCTTGAAACATTGTAAAGAATAAGATCCAACTTGGAGGTAAACTCGAAAGCTTTCAGAGCGACGGGAGTCATCCGAAATCTTCCAGTGAAATGGAAATAGCAATCTCTTTATCGGGTGTTCTAATCACTATGGTGATTTATTGCCTAATTGAAGCAAATTTTTTTGCTTAGGAGTCATAATTTTGTCAGGGATAAATGTTTTTGTCTTGGATTAAGATTTTGTATCTATCATTTTGCCAGTCTTGACGATAAAGAGATTCATTTTTCTCTTGCTCATCAGTAACTGAGCCAGCTCTCGCACCGCTTAGTGATTTGGTCTTTGTCGATTCTGTATTTTATTGGTTTAACTCATTGTTTGTGTTTTGCTTGGAGTATTTTTAATGCAATAGTTTTGTCTTTTTGGGTGACTTTAAGATGTGTATTGCTTTATATGCTGACGACAATTGTCAATTTGGATGACCATTTGCAATTAGAGCATATATTCAGACATGCTATTGCCAATTGCAATTTATTCACATCAGTCGAAGATTAAATATGGAGTTGCCTTGTGTTTTTTTTAGTTTATTTAAGCAAACTTTTATGGGTACTTTGGTTTCTTATCTTGTTTGGCCCATTATTTCCTTACTCTGTACTATTATAGCTATTATAGGGATGGGAAACCATCAAACCATTATGTGGTGGATGAGTAATGCTAATGTGTATTGTTGGTAGATGGATGATGGTTAGATGGGCAGTTGGGAATGGGTTGATGTCAAAAAGATTTGAGCAAGAGTGATGAGTGGACGTAAGGTGGGTATGTTGACTATGTGTTTATGCGTGTATAGATGGACTTCTTGTTTGGATGATAGAAAGGTTTATTGATTGACGTTGAATGGAGTTGGCGAACTTTGTGCACATTCGACAGGTGGGTGAGGGTGTTCTAGGACTGGGAAAAGGAGCAAATTGGTGTTATTTTATTTTTGTCAAGCTGTCTCGTCACTGCGATTGCATGTCGCGACCTGCTTTCAGGCGCCTCTTCTCTTCGGCCCGGTCTCTCCGTGTCCTGCTGATTGCGCCACTTTCGGCCGGACGTCCATAGCCCTTCTACACACCCGCAAAGGGGCAACATACAATGCAGAAGACAAGGGGCCATTGCCCGCCTCCCCGAGACGTCAGATGTGGCCTGTTTCGGCTCATATTTATTCTTTATACCCGCAAACTCATCAGATCGACCGGACGCCATGGGGAGTAGAGTCCTGCCGCGGGTTCACTAATTATGTACGTCCTTTTCGCTTTGTGCTTGCACGGGCAGACACAAAGACCAGCAAGTCCGCGTCGTCTCATGCCCGTACATGGCTGGCCTCTCGAATGCACTCAGATCCCCTCTGGTCAGTGCAAATAAGGACATTCACACAATTACATACATGCATACATACATTTACACAATTACATACATACATACATACATACATACATACATACATACATACATACATACATACATACATAC